TCCCTGTGTACACAAGAGCAGGATAGAAAACAAGTTTGCAGCAAAATTGTGTAGTAGTGGGATTTGCAACACACTAAAAGCAATCAAGCTGCCACAGCCTCTACACCAGCTCCGGCTGCCGGTGCAGGCGTGTACAGTCCTGCTTGCATCAACAATGTTCTTTTGGCCCTCGCCAATCTTGATTTTCTTCTGGACGCCTTGTTTCTGTGAATCGTGCCCACTTTCGCACTCTTGTCGATTATCGAGTATGCGTCTGCGATCAACTTCTCAATGGGCCCAATATCCTCTTCGCCCAGGTCAGGCTTCTTCCTTAAGCCCTCTAATGCCGTCAACACCTTCTTCATGCGGGTTGACATTTCAGATCTCCTTGCCTTATGGTAGACTCGCCTCTTTTCATTTTGCCTCTGTCTGCTTGGCTAGTATGGGGAACACCTTTTGCTTGGCTAGTATGGGGAAAAATCCAGCGGCTGCAGCAGCCGGACTGGGTCTGTGCTTCGCGGTTGCTAACGAAGTTCCGAGGTAGTCGCTCTTTGAAAGAGTCGGGCGAATGGGCGACGAGATGGGCGACCGAAGAACCGGAGAGCAACTGCTTGGGCGGCAGAGCGTCAATGTCTTCTCCGTCGCTCGGGAGTTCAGCGCAACAGGACCAGAAAGCGACAGCTTCCCCAGGCTGGCGCCTACGGATGAAAGCGCCACGGCAGCCATCGCCGCTTCCTGGGTGACGAAAGCGGGGAACCACGTCACGGCACTGGGAGCTACATGGGGGAATCTGATTGACTGTGCGGGCATTGAGAAGTGCTGCAAGGGATGCCTCGTCAACCCATTTATCGGGTGCCGGAAAACAGGGGGTTAGGAATTCTTTTCCCCCTTTTTCAAAAAAAAAAATTCACAAGCAGAGTAAATAAGATATTATAGAAAACGTGTGTGACAAGGATGATAGCCCACCAGTATTTCCAAGCCTCTTTTCCCTGATGCCTATTTCTGCTGCACCTGCGATTTATTTATTATTTGGGGAAACACGCTGCATTTTGTTTAATACGCGGGGCGCTGCCAGCCTGTTCGTTTCAGTAAGCTGAGCCCCAAAAGACGCATTGGAACAAAGTCACTGTGGCTGCCACTGCCTGCAGGTGGGAAATGTACTCGTCAGCATGGCTTCTTTGTGACATCCTTCATGATAGATAGTACAGAGAAAGAAGATTAGGGAGTTCGCGACACAAGCCAGTCGGGGCGCCTGTGTGGCGAGCCCCAGGAGAGGGACGTGGTGGTGCGGCCGCTGCCTCGCACCGACCCTGCGACAGGTTCGCAGCGTTAGAGCGCGGTCCAGGTTTCTGCCGAGAAGTGAGGAAGACGGCGGGACGCTTGCATGAGGCCTCTATCAGGCGGCCATAGTCGGCCGTGAGAGAGGAAATTGTGCGGGGGTACAGGGGAGAGGGGACGAGGAGGACAGGCAGAGCTGGGAGCCAGAAGTAAGGTGAGGACCATCGCTAGGCGTAAGGCTGAGGTGCGATGGGCTGACCCTCGCGATTGACTGGAGGCGGGCGGTCAGGAGTTGGGGACAATCGGCGTCAACGCCGGGTCAAATCCTCAAGGGCGAGGTGGGGAATCTGTAGACGACTGATGACGAAGAAACTAAGGCGCTAGCGAAGGACGGAGAGAAGAGAGCCCAGTAGGGTGAGGGGGGTGCACGGGGGACAAGGGAACAGGAATCCAGATAGACTGAGGGTGTGAAGGCAACACTTGAAAACATGATAGGAAGTCCGGAGGCGGCAGAGAGCGGGGAGAGTGGGGCGAGGGTCGTGGCTGCAAGGTGACACGTGAAGGCACGAAGGGTCAAGCGATAGGCGCGCAGATTTCGGGTGAGCCGCGATTCCTCCAAACGGAGGAGAAGGTTCGGGAGTACGGAGGCAAGGGGGACGCTGCGACGAGGACATCAAGGAGTGAAGATAGCCCGGGGCGAAGAAGGGCCAGGAAATAGGGGATGGTGCACGGGGGCGAGAGACAGGAAAACGGGACATACGATAGGAAGCCCCGAGAAAAGGAGAAGGGTAAGAATAGGGAACGAGTTGGAGGGACGAGCAGCAGGTGGTGATACGGGGCGAAGACTCGAAGGGCAGCGTGACAGGTTAGGAAGAAAGGAAGTCCGGACGCACGAAGTCACGGCAACAACAAAGGGAGACACGGACGACGTGGATCAGGACAGCTGTAACACACAGGAGGATCGGGTGTGCAGAGCCACTCCACAATCCCTCCAGGGGCCCCGGGTGGGAGTCTTTTTCCCCCAGTGGAGGGATTGAACTGTGCTCCGCAAGGGATTAACAGGGAGTAAGTGAAACACCTATATTCTAAATTGCAACCCCTTTTTTTTTTTTTTTTTTTTTTTTTGTTACCATCACGATGGCAGGGGTTCGACGATCTGAGCACAGATACCCTATTGTTACCATCACGATGGCAGGGAGTAAGTGGGGGGCGGTCAGACAGCATGCAGAGAAGAGACTGGCGGGCTACAAGCAAGGGGGTCAGCACGATACCCAACATTATTTAACAGAAGGACAGTCAGAGCAACTCGCAGAACTCTGCCCCCCCCCCCCGAATCTCGTCCCCTCCCGGCCCCACATGGGCGGATCGTCTTCGCTGTCCGCACGTCGGACAATCGCTCACAGTCCAGAGACAGGTCAAGGAAGGGGAGAACAGTGAGTGGAAAGTTCCCTTCGACAGCCTGTCGTCAGCAGCGGCGTTCTTTCTAATTCAATTTTTGACATCCTCGGAACAGAAAGTTGTTAATCACGGGGGGAAATCGTCAATGATAAAGTCACTGCCTGCATGCAAAGTCAAGGAGAGGAATGAACTGTATATGATGCACGCCAGCAACTGGGTCTTTCACGACGACACTGCGTTTAAATCAACGAACGATAAAATAGGCTGGATAAGGAAGAGGTTGGCATCCCTCAAGGGGAACTTGGAGGAGGCCCACGACCTTTTTTTGCTCCAACCTATTTCCACAACAACAATCATAGTCTTGTGTAGGCACAGTACAGACAAACAGGCAATGGACAGCTGGCGTTCGATCCGATGTGAGAGATCCGAGGTGCGGATCTACCCGTGGGCTCTGCCGAAACAGCAACGCCCGGAGGAGAGGAGAGATCGAATGATGGCGGACCACTTTTGGGTGGAATTCCGCCACATCCCAATTGAAATACAGGCGGTCTTCGTATAGGATTTTGGGGCAAAATATGATGTCATCGACTTTATTGACCCGCTCCCACCCCATGTGGCTAAACGGGACGACTATCTCATGATGACAATAGACCTCCCGGAAGGCCAGCCCTTCTCGATCGACGATATTATCCCGTTCAGGGTGGGGGATAAAGATATCAAAATCCACACGGCCCACAAACTGCGGACGTGGTGTTTTAAATGCCAGGCCTACGGGCATTTATACACAGACCCCGCCTRTCCGCACCACCCTKTCAATCAGGTCAGAGCCACRGRYCGTCTGATACAAGACCCATTCAGGAGCACCCACTGACACACAGTGGACCCGGGACACGAGGGATGGGTCTATGTCGACAAACCAGACGAGGCAGGGAATACGATGGGATGGGTATGGGACAAGGCGGGGGAGCCTGACCTGCAAACAAAACCCCCGGCAACATGGGTCCCCCCACAAACTATGGAATCCCACTTACATAAGATGGAGAGGCTCCCCCCAGGGGAGAGGGTGATGAAAGGCAAAACTGAGAAGGGGGGACCAGGCCCAGACCCGGAGAAGCTCCCCCCTGGGGAGAGGGAGACGAAAGGCAGAACTGAGAAGGGGAGATCAGGCCCAGACCCGGCCAATGACGCCCAAAAGACGGGCGACCATGTACCGTCTGGGCCGATCTTGGAAAAGACACCCCCCCCGGAAGGGAAAGATGAGCAAAGCAAAACTGTGAGCGGGAGACCGGGCTCTGTACATTCTGGGCAGCTTCCGAAAAAGAATCACACGGGTCAGAAAAGTCGGGGAGGGAAGGGAACCACAGAGCAAGTGGAACATGACAACAGATTTGCCTTGTTGAATAGTGAGGAAGGGAGTTCGAAGAGTTGGGAGGGGAGGGTAAAGGGGGACAGACCCCATCCGGAACCGACGACCCTCACGCAGGAGAAAATTGGTCCAGGCCAAAATACTCAACACCCACCCAATGCACCCACGGACCCATATGCAGGGGTGTTAGGGGTCTCAGTGCACGGGAGCAACAATCCTGTGAGTCTGGAACTGGTGCAAAGCCCGAGCATTACAATAATGCAGATCTCTGACTGGATTATGCCTGGCTTGAGATCACTGTACACCGAGGCCCCGACAGACTTCTGAGCTCAAGCTCACACGCAGCTAATCAGGGCCTTGGGGAACAGCCGGCAGGTCAGAATAATCCTGGAGCAGGGCCTCCCGGAACACGTACAATGGGGGGAGGTAATGCAACGTCTGTTTAAAATCTCGGCAGCACATTTCAGTGCCCCGACCAACCCGGCCCGGGAGCAGCAACCCACAATTAGCCAGCACAGGTAACCCGCCACTGCAGTGGATATACAAGGGGCACGCTCGTTAACCGAGGGGGAAGGGAGACACGGAATGGAGCAGCAGAAGGAAACGGAAGGGGAGAGGAAAATTGCAAACCAAGAGAGTCACGGAGCGGTAGGAGGGGATCACGTGGAGCAGGGGGCCCACACGGACACGGTGATGATAGACCAGTTGGAAGAGGCCTTCGGTCCCCAACCCATGGACATCGAGGACCCCTCCTCGCTTTCCCCCCCCCGGAGGTGGAAATGACGGAAGCTAATCATTAGGGCGATACGGGTGCGCCCCCAGCAGATATGGATAACGAACAAAAAGTACAAAGAATAGCGGAATGGCTGATAGAGGGTTTCCGAGCTCAGCACCCAGAGGCCTCCCAGGATTTCAGGGACTGTACGTACGTTCAACTCTTCGATTTGCTGGATAGGAGTCCAACGCTGCACAGAGCTCTGCAAAAGGGCCCACCCCCATACATATCCTGGCCGAAAATCTTCCACAGAATTCGTCACCTTGCGGCTCTTCAGTTTCGTCCCCCACCTCCCCCTCAGCCTCCACCGGACCCGCCAGGGAAAGGTCCCACAGCAACCCCGACTGATCACACTCCCGTCCCGCCAAAATATAAAAAGCTGAGGCAGATGGTGTCCGGGGTGCTCCTGTGCAAGGGGGGGTAACACTGCCAGGCTGGAGTTTCTTTAACATCTGGTCCCTTCCTGGCTTGAGGGATAGTGACTTTAGGAAAAAAGTGGAACCCTTCCTGAGACGGCATTATCCGGTAGGCATCCGAGCCACCCTGCCGCTGTTCGAAGGGGTGACCAGAATCACCAACACAGACCTGTATGTCCTCTTTGAGGACGACAAGGAGTCCAATTTGCAATGGTTCAGCCATAGTGCCCTCATGGATCTCCCTCTGCAGCAGATAAAAGCTAACTCTTTCTGGGCTGAAGAGGATATACACACTTGCCTCTCAAGGCTTCTCAGATACGGGTTGTTATGCACAGTGAATTGGTCCGACCGCCCATGGGAGGGGGTCTGATCCCAAGGAAAGTAATAAGAGGCCTAAATGAACGACATTGATATACTGTACTGCAGGAACCCCCAGTGGA